TTATAATTTCAAAGTTGTTGGAAAGTTGATGATTAAATGAGTGAATATATGTAGTGCTAAAATAGTTGCCAGGATGTTTTCCCCTGGGGGAAAGAAAAGTACCTGCCAAAAGTGTGTATTCAATCAGTGTTAAGAATAAAATGTTTAATAGATGGTGAGAATAAAACAATAGGGGGAAGAGAAAATTTCAGATCAAATATGCTGAGAAAACTACTAACTAGTACCCAAAACCAGAATACAAAACCACTGCAAACCCAGCATACGTAGCTCAATTTTCATAATACAATAAATATATTCTAGAAAGAAAAAAAGGACAGGAAACAAACTATCTGAAAAGTTAATATTCAACGGGGTCAGAAGGGAATTCCCAAAAAGCACAGACTCACCTATGAAGTTAGCCTCCTGACTCCCCTTTCCCCAAAAATCAATCTCAATCTAAGCTTCTACATCTAACTACGAATTTATAGGAAATCAGGAAGATCTAGAATATGGGAAACTCTGCAAGACAAATGACCTGGTTTCTTCAACAAAGTGCAGAGAAAGAGAGAGAAGAAACATACAAATTAAGAGGCTTGAAAGAAAATCAGTCAATTACAGTGTGTAGGGCCTGGGTTCTGCTTAAAAACAAAAAACAAACAAACAAAAACTAGGAAAGTCAACAGAAACATTGAATCTAAGAAAGAAAAACAGAGCAAACAACTCCATGTGCAATGATCTGTTCCGATTTCACTCCACTGGTAAATGGATGTACATTAAAGATAATTTCAGACAATTTATATTTAACAATTATGAAGTGGTTGCTATTGTCAGGCATTGTTTTAAGAACTCTACAAATATTTTATTTGTTAACCTCAATAACCCTATGAGAAGGTACCATTTTCCCCATTTAACAGAGGAAGAAACAGGCACAGAAACCTTACCTAAAACTCTCCCCAAGTCATAAAGCGGTCGAGTGACAATGCTGAGATTCAAACTCAGACTATAAAGTTGGTACCCTTAATTACTATATCATACTGTCTACATGATGTAGTGGAAACAGCTCTTTGGAATCAGATAAAACTTCCTGAATACCCATCTCTCCTTATGTCATATCAATTATTTATTTAACTTCTCAGAACCTCTGTACACTCACTTGTAGAAGAGAAGGGCACCAGACATAGTTAAGGAATAGAGAGATTATATATTGGACTATATTATAGGCTTTAACTTATGAAACCCACAATAATGGTTCTCACTACCCTTCCCATCATACCTGCAGCGACTAATTAAAAAGTCGAGCTAATAATTCATAAACACATAGCAGAAACACTGGAATAGCTCTACCTTTTAATTAACTAGCTAAAGAGCACCCAAACCAACTTTTCAAGATACTTATAAATATAAACTTTAGGAATAGCAATAATTCAAAAAGGAATATTTTACATAAAATTTAAACTTATAATCAGCAGAAACAAGAGTTTGCAATTTAAATTTAAAGTATAGCCAAACTTAAATTTTTTTTGAAAACAAACAAAACTTATTCCACATAAATAGATCTACTGCTCAGAAAAGTGCACTAAAATTTTGTTTATGCTGGTGATTCTTTAGCCTGATGTCTGGTTAATGTAAGGCAAAATAGTTTTATCATAGAAAAGGAAGGTAGCCCTAGCTGGTTTGGCTCAGTGGATAGAGCAATGGCTTGCGGACTGCAGAGTCCTGGGTTTGATTCCAGTTAAGGGCACATGCCCAGGTTGCTGACTCGATCCCCAGTAGGCTGCATGCAGGAGGCAGTCGATCAATGATTCTCTCTCATCATTGATGTTTCTATCTCTTTCTCCCTTTCCCTTCCTCTCTGAAATAAAAACATATGTATTTAAAAAAGAAAGAAAAGGAAGGTAAATTTGAGCCCTGACCGGTTTGGCTCATAGAGCATCGGCCTGCGGACTCAAAGGTCCCAGGTTCGATTCCAGTCAAGGGCATGTACCTTGGTTGCAGGCATATACCCAGTAGGGGGGTGTGCAGGAGGCAGCTGATCAATGTTTCTCTCTCACCGATGTTTCTAACTCTCTATCCCTCTCCCTTCCTCTCTGTGAAAAAATCAATAATATATTTAAAAAAATCAACTTGAAAGACAGCTATGTTGTTAACCTATGAATATTTTTGTGTTTATTTGTTATACTACCAAGTTCTTTGGTGGCAGGAAATGTTTTAAGGTCATCTAGGTATTCCTAGCACCCAGCATGCTGATACTGGCACCATACATAGTTCACCCTCTTGCAGTACCTTCTTCTTCTTCTTCTTCTTTTAATTTATTGGAATTACATTTGTTAATTACATAGGTTTAAGGTATACAATTCTCTAATACATCATCTGCATATTGCACTGTGTTCACCACCCCAAGTTATGTGCTTCTGCATTTCTTAAAAAGAAGAATAATTGACCTGTTCTGTCTAAAAAATGAAAAATAGCCTTGTCTGGTTAGAGCATCATTCCCATACACCAAGGTTGTGGGTTTGATCCCAAGTCAGGGCACTTACAAGCATCAACCAATGAATGCACAATTACTAAGGTGAAACAACAAATGGATGTTTCTTTCTCTCTCAAAAAAAAAAAAAAAAAAGGAAAAAGAAAGCCCTAGATGTTTTGGCTCAGCACATAGAGCATGAGTCTTCAGACTGAAGGGTCCCGGGTTTGATTCCGGTCAAGGGCACATGCCAGGGTTGTGGGTTCGATCCCCAGGGGCGGGGGCGGGGGGGCGGGCATGCAGGAGGTAGCCTATCAATGATTTTCTCTCATCACTGCTGTTTGTTTCCCTTTCCCTTTCTATCTCTCTCCCCCCCGTCCCTCCCTCTTCCTCTTTGGGGGAAAAAAAAGCAACAAAAAGAATTTAAAAATAAATAAAATAAAAAATAATTTGTCCAAAAGATCAATTAAAGGCTGATTATTTGCTTCAGTAAAGGAAAATAACTATTAGAATCCTGTGAATATATCTGCCTAGTTTATTTGAAATCACCTATAGAAGTCCAATTTACATAACAATAGCAATATTTTACTACCTCTTTAGTTAAGATATACTTTTGGACAATAAACGATTAGCTGTGCTTATTGAACTATTGAAGTTTGACTATAGTCAGTTTTGTTTTGAGCAGACTTCAGCGGGAAATAAAATTCAGAATTTGATTAATAGTCATTTCTGAGGCAGTATTATTATCTATGCACCACAGAGAATTTTTTACCATCCATTTGAAAAACATATATACACACACACACCAAAATTTATCTTTTCTATGGACTACTTTTCCAGCTGATCCTTTTAAATTTTGTGTGTTCTCATCTTTCCAATAGCATAGGTTTAAATACTAGCTGGATGAGTCTCTGGGCTTTTTTTCCTCAACTAAAAAATGAATGGATAAAACAATATTTACCTCATAGGAATAATAAACTAGTAACTGTAAAGCACTTCAAAGAGGAGTCAGTTCCTGGCACATTAGAGTTATCACTGTTGTTAAGTGTATACACTTTAATCATAAAACATATGCAATCTGCTGAAGTCTGATTCAGAATTGTTTTATCTTTAACTGAGCATTTGAAAATGAATTTGTAAGCAGAAATGTGCCCCAGATCTCTTACTATTCCAAATTTATTAAAATTGTTGCATGTGCCCCCTCCTTAGCCAAGCTTTTAAACAGCCACTGATAGAGAAAACTAGTTGAAATCACTCAAAATAAAAAAGGCTTCATAGCACCCCCGCCCCAAATTTCAAGAGCTCTGATAGCATACTATCCAGTATCAATTGAAAGAATATATCACCATATACAAACCATTTGAGTACCCTGAAAAAAAAAATTACAATAAGATCGCATCTAAGTTTACGGGGTCCAGTAGGAAACGATGACAAAAAAACCAAACTGAATTGTAATTTCTATAAAGCACTTTAAATGTTTTTCTTTTTTTGTAAAACCACCAAAATAAGAACAAAAAATCCTAAAAAATAAATGTTTGTATTGAAAGAATGTAGGAAGGTAAATTGACACTGACTCTCTCGTGGGGGCGGGGGGAATGACAGCTTATTTAACTATTAATTCCAAAGTTCTCATTCACATTAGCATTTTATTATCGTTTAGACAGATTACAAGTCGAAACTCAAGCACCTTCCCAAACACCTAAGTTAACTGTTTCTGGTTTACATTCTCTGCCTTTTTGTTTTCAGTTATACTTCTGGATCTTATAGTAAAAAAAAAAAAAAAAAGCAAACAAAAACAGACAGGCTTTTGTCTAAAAGGGCACAACCACCAGGCGCTCCACGGCTCAAGTTTGTTTTCACTTGTCTTCACTCCTCTAATGAACGACCCAAGCTTAACGGCACGCAGGTTCCCTTTCGGGTTATTTCACAGAAAAGACCTCGGAAAAGCCGGCGGCCCGGACCCCAGGGCTCCGCGCCCCGAGGACACCCGTCACTGTACTCGCGAAGGGATGACACGGAGAAGCGACTCGTTACTGAACTAAAACATGACCCACCCACGGACTCCGTTTTTTTTCCGGAGCAATAAATCATATCAAAGAGCAAGTTATTTCAACAAATATGACAAACCAACCTCAGAGCACAAAGCTGGGAGATAAAATTAACACCACAGCACCATTTCAAAACCATAAGCAATGACAACACACAACCCCCGCACCCACTCTTACGTAAACTTTTAGAGTAAGCAAACTTCTTTGGCCTCACGTTTGTTTTCACCTACCGAGGCCTTTTCAAGATAAGACACCAGTTACAAGACAACCGAAAGATCAAAAGATTAAGCTGTCCCCGTAGGAGAAACAACTAAAAATGTAAGACGATTTAACGTATTTTAAGTTACCGAAGCTCAGGGCGCTTCCCCAAGCTACAGCCATTTTAGATTCAGCGTTTCTTTTGAATTTCACCGGGGATACGGGGGGGGGGGTGTGTGTGTTAGAGGTAGATTTAAAACAGAAAAAAACAAAAACAAAAAACCCCCCACAAAACATCCTCCTCATACTTCAAGATCTACCAGCTTTTTCCGAGGGTCGTGATGGTAGGTGCTCAACCAAGGAAAACACCTCGCTGCCAAGGAGAACCAGAACGGTGGGGGTTAAAGGTTTTCCCCCTCACACACACCGCATTTGACTAACACGATCGTTTCCTCCTTATTATTTTCCTTCACTGGAAAAAAGCCCTTGGCTCTCCTCTAAGAAGAAAAGGAAACCCGTAAACCAAGTCACTCCACCGCCAGGCGGAGACGCCTGGAGAGGAGCCCGAGAGCCGCAGGTGAGCGTTGCGCCCCGCAGACCCGAGTTGA